ACTACTACGACTACTACGACTACTACGACTACGACTACGACTACGACTACGACTACGACTACGACTACGACTACGACTACGACTACGACTACGACTCAGACTACGACTACGACTACGACTACGACTACGACTACGACTACGACTACGACTACGACTACGACTACGACTACGACTACGACTACGACTACGACTACGACTACGACTACGACTACGACTACGACTACGACTCCGACTACGACTACGACTACGACTACGACTACGACTACGACTACGACTACGACTACGACTACGACTACGACTACGACTACGACTACGACTACGACTACGACTACGACTACGACTACGACTACGACTACGACTACGACTACGACTACGACTACGACTACGACTACTACTACGACTACTACTACTACTACTAGTCTTATTATTCGTTTTATCATTAATATGTCGTTGTCCTTCTTATTATGCATATTCGTATTACTATTGTTGCTATTCGGATTCGCATTCTTGTTATTGTTGTTCGTATTATGCTTAGTATTAGTACTGTCCTGACTATTATTATAGTGCTTACTAGTATGATTATTCTTGTGATTGTTATTATTCGTCTTCTTCACATGATTAGTCATCGTCTTCTTCTTCTTCTTCGTCTGCTCCTCATCTTCTTCTCCCTTGCTGCTGTGCCGGCCCATGCAGCTGCCGGTTCGTGTTCACCTCGGCCCTCGAGGACACCGCAACGCACCCTGCCCTCCGACGCCCACCGCTGCGCCCGCCGGGCCAGCATGGCTCCCCGTCTCCCCATCTGAGCGACGAGATGGAGCGGGCCTCTTATGGGGCGCGCAGAGACATGCTGATACCTACGCGTCCTCCCTGGAGGCACGCGTCCAACCAGAACACGCAGTATACCCATCTTGTAGCATATCGTTTCCCGAGCGGTGTGGCCAGAAAGCGCCCGCCACAACGCATGTACTATAAGATGTCTCGGTGCGCGCGTCGCCCCTGGGAAGGCGACGCACACATTATTTAGAACATGTTTGGGTCACGCCGATCCTACGCGAGATGATATACTTAGCGACCTCACGCGGTGACTTGCGCGGGACACCTGCGCAGTACGCCACGTCGTAAGCGAGGGCGCATACGCGCGGCCTTACGTTGGAACCTCATGCGCGAACGTCCGCGCAATCGACCCCTTTTCTCTTCTGTTGCTCGCGTGGGTACCTCGCCCTAACCCGAGAAGGGAGAGAAGGGCCAGCGGCCAGGGCGACAATCCATGTTCCGTTGCATCTTCCTGTGAGGAGCTGGACAGAGGCAGTGGGCCTTTCCAGAAGACATGTGAAAAACTACATCCGTGGGTGCTCGTCAACAGGAGCCCTGCCGTGTGTGTGTGTGTGTGCGGGGGGCAAGGTGCACAGAGAGCCGCCGAGAGTTCCAATGGTGCTGGCGCAGACTGCAGAAGTAAACCTGAATTGGCAACCCGGTGCTCCATAGACCATCGAGCCTCCCTGGCGACGAGGAGGGAGCAGGAGGAACCCACTTGTGATGATTTGCGATCACGCCCGTGACCGGACCCGCCCCCCCCCTTCCCGCCTCCCCCCTGGTCACGTCTCGGTGCTGGCGCAGTCTGTAAATTAGCCAGCCTTGAACATTCCCGGACGGCGCTGGCGCGAACCGTGACGTGACCGCCCCCCCCGATCAAGCCCGTTGTCGCCAAAGGAGGACCAAGGTTAGGAGGCAAATACTGGGAGGTTATCGTCGGAAGGACTAAGGAGAATCAAGCCCCACTGGGGCCTTCTACGCCAAATAAGGCCGCGGATCAAGCGGGACTAAGCGGGATTGAACCGGACTAAGAAGGACTAAGCCGGATTAGCCTGGATTTTGGACCACGGCAAAATCAGAATTTGACCTCCCAGGAGTTGCATCCGAACAGAGGGTCTTTAGCGGGAGGGTGAGCAGGCGGCTCCCTCCTCGCGGGCCACGCAATAGTTCCGGAAGCTGGGCAGCGGCAGCGGCCGGGACATGCCGGAGAAGGCCGTCCAGCCAGAACTCCCGAGCCCTGGCGGCGGCGGGCGCCGGCGGGGCGGAGGGGCGAGGATCAGGCAGGGCAACCCCCAAAGGGAACAAAAACCTTGCAAGTGGAGATCCGACCGCCACTGCGACTGCGGCTGCGACTGCGCCCTGCGTGGAACGCCGCGAGGGCGCCCAGGAACCAACTGGACGGCATGACCGGGGCTCGTTCTGGCAATGTCGAACTCGAAAAGAACGCGCCCCAACTCGGCCCCAGACCTTCGTGTGAGCGCAGGCAGGCTTCATACGAAACGGGGCCGCGCCCTGCGCATACCTGGCCTCAGTCAGTTTTGTGGTTGCTTCGTTCCTTCACTCGTCCGCGGACGGCAGGGAGCCCGCGAACGACGTAGGATGTACGCGCCCCCCCACGTACATGAACACGGTCCCCCAATCCGCGAGACCGGCCGCGTGATACGAACGTTCGCGCAAGGCGTGCTCCGGAAACCACCGTATTCATGTTTGAGCAAGGACCGACCGTCCCAGCATTCCTACAGTCCTACCACGAGATGCTTGTAGAACCCCAAAACGCTCGAAACACAAAAACAATGTTCTTAGAACATGAGACCGACGTGTCAAAACAAGACGGTCTCGGCCAGAAATGCTTTAAGAACATCTCGCCCAGACCACGGAAAGAGCGCGTTCTGTGCCACCGCCACCCCCTGGATGGAGCGGGGGGGGGTCGAACCCCCCTCCCCCCCCCCTCCCGTTACGGAGGAGGAGGGGGGTTCGAACCCCCCCCCCCTACTTTTCCTCTCTGCCTCTCCTCGGCTGGCGGCGGCTGCGGCGGGGGCGACAATTTCCTTTTCTGGGCCGGCGCCGGCGCCTGCGGCGGCGGGCGGCGGCGGCGGGAAGCATCGACGAGGACGACGGTGGTGTTTGTGGTGGTAGTGTGGTGGTGGTTTGTTGTTGTTGTTGTGGTGGTGGTGGTGGTGGTGGTGGTGCTGGTGGTGGGTGGTGGGTGGTGGGTGGTGTGGTGGTGGGTGGTGGGTGGTGGGTGGTGGGTGGTGGTGGCGGTGTGGCGGTGGTGGTTGTGGTGTAGTGTGGTGGTGGTGTTGTTTGTTGTTGTTGTTGTTGTGGTGGTGGTGGTGGTGGTGGTGGTTTGGTGTGGATGGTTGGTGGGTGGTGGTGGTGGTGGGTGGGTTGTGGTGGTGTGGTGGCTTGTGGTGGTGGTGGTGGTGGTGGTGGTGGTGGGTTGTGGTGGTGGCGGTGGTTTGTGGAGGTGGTGCTCGTGGTGGTGGTGGTGGTGGTGTGGTGGTCTGTGGTGGTGGTGGGTTGTGCTGCTGGCAGAGGTGGTGGTTGTGGCGGTGGTGGTGGTAGCGTGGTAGATTGTGGTGGTGGTGGTAGTGGTGGTGGGTTTTTGTGGTGGTGTTGGTGATGGTGAGTTGTGGTGGTAATAATTGTGGTGGTGGTGGCTGTGGTGGTGGTAGTGGTTGTGTGGTGGGTTGGTGGTGGTGGTGGGTTGAGGCGGTGGTGGTGTGGTGGTGGTGGTGGTAGTAGTGGTTATCGTCGCTGCGTCCCCGCCGTCGCCGCCGCCAGCGCCAGCGCTGGCGCCAGGGGGAGGGGGGGGGGGGGGGTGAACCCCCCTCCTCCTTGGGAGGGGGGGGAGGGGGGGGTTCGGGACGGGGGGGGTTGGTGGGAAGGGGAGTCCCCCTGGTTTTGATCGACGGCGCCGAGTGTTGGGGGGGGGCCACCCCCTGGTTCGAAACGCGCCGCCGAATGTTTCCAAGGCAAGCGCCCGTGAAACGCGTTCTCTCAGACCACGAAAGGCTCTTAGAACACTATCTGGTGGGCCTATAGGCGAGCCAGGACGCTTCGCAACTGCTTGACATTTGCGTGTACGTTTAGGTCGGGCACGTCCTCCTACAGGCGGATTGTGGGCGACAAAAGACGACTCAAAAAAATCCCCCCAAAATATTCAAAACATCGTCCCCAGACTATTGCTTGACTATGTTTGAACACACTCCTCCTGCAGAGGGACAGGCCCAACTGAAGTGTACGCTCCTCTCTCGCTCTTCAGCTGGGACGTCCGCGGCCCGAGGAGTCCGAGGCTGCGACGTCCGAGGGCGCGGGGCCGCCCGAGGCCGAGGCCCGCGGAGGCGGAGGCCGAAGCGTGGCGGCAGCGTGCCTCGGGGCAGGGGAGTGCGCGGGCCGAGGCCCGGGGCTCCCGTGGATGTCCGAAGGGAGCGCACGGATCCCCTCCGGGGGGGCCCTGCGGATCTCCTGAGGGGGCCTGTGGATTTCCTTCGGGCTTCCACGGATTCCCAGGAAAGAAACACATGGACTGCCCAAGGATTCCTATAGATTGCCTAAAGAATCTTCAGGATTTCCAGGGCCAGGGCATCGGGCCTTCGGCCTCACCCTGCGCCGAGCGAAGGCGAGGATCGCGCGCGGCCGACCAAAAGGTGCACCCAAACCGCTGCTCCCCGTGCCTCTCCCGGTGCGCGTTCCGGCCAGAATCTCGAGGCGAATCTGGCGGTGGCGACGAGGGCCTCCCAGGAGGTCCCAAAAGGCGAAAACAATACACGTCGGTCGGAAGAAGTAGGTAAAAGCATGAAGTAGGAAGGCGGATGAAGTAGGTTGGGTTCAGTCCCTCCCAGATAATAACAAAGCACAGCAAAAACATATCGGCTCATGAAGTAGGGAGACGCCAGAAATAGATTGGGATCTGGGAGTACGCAAATACCTACTTTCAACGACCGGCGTGTAAGCTTTTCTTCCTCTGATCTGGAGGAGGAGGAAGAGGCGGAAGAGGAGGGGGAGGGGGAACGCGCAGACCTTCCCCCTCCTCCCCCTCCCCCCTCGCGAGCCTGGGGGAGGCCCAAACAAGGGAACGCGAGGAAAGGGTAGCGGTAGGGATACCTTTTCCTTCTCAGCGCGTTGCTGGAGGGTCTCGCATCCTCCTCCTCCTCCTCCTCCTCCTCCTCCTCCTCCTCGCAACCATGGCGCACCGAGTCCGTGACACACGAATGGGGTGACGTCTGGTCGGCTGGGGCCAAGGTGAAGCAGATGCCGGAAGGAGCTCGTGACTACAGGACACGAGCACTGGACCGCCGCGCTGCTGCCCAGGCACTCCGTGGGGGAGTGCCAAAACTATCCCAGGGGGATGGGGGAGGGGCAAGATAAGTGCGCTCGCGCCATATCTGACGTCCTAACCCTCCCTCCCATCCCTTACCATGGCGTAGATCTCCTCTCTGTTCGCACAATCGGATGTCGTAGCAGAGCATAGCATCACATGGCATAGCATGGTGTTGAAGATCAGCGCATATCCTGACATAATATGGCGTGGCGACGCCCCAAAGTGGGGGGGGGGGGCTTCTGCGGTGCAAGAAATCAGGGAATCGACACCAAATGTGTAAGCATGTCCGATGTTTTTTCGGTGGGGGCACTTTTTTAGATTTTGAAGCCTATTTGGAAGAACCGAAAACCATACCATGGCATGGCGCTGGAAATAATGACGCCAACGCTGCTGCGGGAGCACGATTCGGAACGAGCGGAAGCGCGGAAATGAGGCCAGCGCTGCAGCGGGAACACGATTCGGAGGGCGCGTAGCCTGAGATTGCATGGCGCTGTGACGCCCCAAATAGGGGGAGGGCTTCGGCAACCCAAAAAAACAACGAATCGACACCGAATGTGGAATCACTTCCGATGAGTCTTTCGGGGGGCATGTTCTAGATTTGGGGCCTAAGGACCAAAAACCATGCCGTGGCATGGCGCTGGGAAATAATGACGCCAACGCTGCAGCGGGAGCACGATTCGAAACGAGCGAAGCGCGGAAATGAGGCCAACGCTGCAGCGGGAGCACGATTCGGAACGAGCGGTAGCCCAAACATGAAGCCAACGCTTCAGCGAGAGCAACAAGCCAACGAAAACCAACTCCCGTGAATCCTGTGTAAATAACCAGTACGCGGAGGTGGGCCGAATATTTCCTGGACGTCACCAGGGGAGATAGGAGAGTAGTATTCATATTGTGTAGCTGTGGAGGGCGGAGGGGGGAGGGCGGAGGGGGGGGAGGGGGGAGAGGGGAGGGTGGGGAGGCAGGAGGGAGGAGAGAGGAGGAGGGAGGAGGGAGGAGGGAGGGGGGATGGAGAGGGGGGGAGGGGCGAGGAAGGAGGGGGGAGGGGGACGGGAGAAGGGAGGAGGGGAGAGGAGGGGGGAGGGAGAGGAGGGAGGGAGGATGACGTTGGTCGGCCATACTGGATGAGCAGGAGGGTCACGAGGAGCAGCAACAGCAGGAGCGGCAGGAGGAACACACAAGGACGACGGGAATGACGGATAGGAGGACGAGGAGCACGTCGAGAAGGACGAAGACCCATGCGCTCCAAAACGCCAGCAAAAGCTCAAGAGTGGAGGAACAACGTCTCCAGGGTGGAGGCCGAAACCTCCATGCCATGATAGCCTTCTTTCGTTGCAAGCTTCGAACATGGGTCAAAAGCTGCCCCTCGGCGTCGCTCTCTGCGGGGTCACCTGGCCCTGTCGCAAGATCTTCCGACAGGACGACTCCCTCACCGTCCCCTCGTGCATGGCTCGAAAATGGGGGCGTGTCCCCAGGCCAGACAATTGTGCACTCCAAGACTGCTCGAATTCCGTGTGTGTGTGTGTGGCCGCTCGAGGATGCTGCGCTCCAGGTCCAAGCAATGAGATCCGCCCCAAAACTGCCCAAAGGCGAATGCAGTGCGTGCCCGCTCGAGGATGGTGCATCCCGGGTATGGGCAGCGATGGGCCCCAGGTCCGCTCCAGGTGCATTCCGTGCGTACCCGCTCGAAGATGGTGTCCTAGACCGTTTCAAGTTCATTATGTGCATGCCCGTTTGTCCTCCGTCTTGAGTTGGGGGCGTCCAAGAGGGGGGCGTCCAAAATTATTGCCCAAGGCATGTGCGCGGCCCATGGAGGAGGCCAAGGCACGTATTGAAATAAGAGAAGGGGCCATGACATCTGAGGAGATACCATGGCCCAGGCCATGAAATCCACCGCCCCCTGGTCATCCCCCCCCCCTCTTGGAACTCAAAATCCCAATCCTTTCGAGAACCCCTGCCCCAGACGCCTGGCGGTTTTAAATTCATAACTCGGCTCTCCCGCGGCCGTTCGGGACGATCCAGCCCTCGGCGAGGCTCGGCGCTGCCGCTGGAAAGCATCCCGAGGCTGGAAAACCGCAAGGAGCCTACGCAAACGTCCGAATCGGTGCTTCGTAAACGGGGGTTTAGCTAAACGGGGGCTAGGCTTTCCATACGCCCCCGTTTACTGTGCCCCCGTCTGCGGGGCCCAGGGCCACCTAAACGGGGGCATAGCCAAACGTGGAAATCGGCGTTCCCTGTGCCCCCGCTTGCTATGCCCCTGCTTCTGGCGCCTTGACCGAAAACCTCGAAACTCGAGCCGGGTAAGACTTCTCCCCCTCGCTCGCCGCCGAGACGTGTCATTGCACTGGCCTTGCAGACGTGCTGCAGCTGATTTCTGCGTGGATTTTTGCCCGAAGCGGCGAGCGAAAAACGGAGTGAATTTCGAGTGGATTCTTTTTAGTCTTCATTCCTGGCCAGAAAAATCCGTACGGAATTCACCTCGACATCTGGAACGAAATTCTCCGGGACACTCCGGGCCCATCCCATCGTTTTCCGACGATGTTGGTGACATGAGACCTGCCTCCTGCCCCGGTGTGGGCGGGGGGGAGCCTGCCACGCAGGCCGCGTACGTGCGCCCCGACGGGAGCCCCACGGAGACCTGGACGGCTGGTCGGGGATCGGGCAGAGGACGAGGATCTGGGGAAGGGAGGGGCGCGGTCGACCAGCAAGGGATTCTGGTGTCCGGCCTCATTACACTCGTCCCTCCATTCTTTTTCCTCCTCCTCCTTCTCCTCCTCCTCCTCCTCCTCCTCCTCCTCCTCTTCCTCTTCCTCTTCCTCTTCCTCCTCCTCCTCCTCCTCCTCCTCCTCCTCCTCCTCCTCCTCCCCTGCCCCGTTGGCTCCGCCTACAGTCATGCAAGCGATCCGGAAGACCATGGGTCCAAGAACGGAGGCGCATCGCTTTTCCTTCCGCCGCCTGCCGCCGACCTTCCGCCGACCGTCCGCCAGCGCCAGCGGGCTCGGGCCCGCCGCGCGCTAAGCAAGCACACCCAGGCCACCGAGAGGAGGATTGAGGAGGAGGAGGAGGATGAAGAGGAGGAGGAGGAGGAGGAGGAAGAGGAGGAGGGGGGAGGAGGAGGGTGAGGAGGAGGAGGAGGAGGAGGAGGAGGAGGAGGAGGAGGAGGAGGGGGAGCAGAGAAGGAGGAGGAGGAGGAGGAGAGGAGGAGGAGGAGGAGGAGGAGATTGGGAGGATTGAGGAGGAGGAGGAGGAGGAGGAGAAGGAGAGGAGGAGGAGCAGGAGGAGGAAGAGGATTGAGAGGATTGGGGAGGAGGAGGATGAGGAGGAGGAGGAGGAGGAGGGGGGAATGGGAGGGGGAGGGCGAAGGGGGCTGGCCAGGGTTCAGGCTTGAGGGACGTCTGCTGCTGGTTGAGCCCAAGCAGGGATGTCCGAGACCCAAGCGTCGATTGGACCAGTATGGGTACGTACCCTGAGATCCGACGCTGCGAAACAAGGCAATCTCGCGAACAGGCACAGCTGGAGCCCTCCTCCTCCTCCTCGGTCCTCCTCGGTCCTCCTCAGTCCTCCTCCTCCTCATCCTCCTCCTCCCTCCTCCCTCCTCCTCCTCCTCCTCTCCTCCTCCTCCTCCTCCTTCCTCCTCTCCTCCTCCTCCTCCTCCTCCTCCTCCTCCTCCTCCTCTCCTCCTCCTCCTCCTCCTCCTCCTCCTCCTCCTCCTCCTCCTCCTCCTCTCTCTGTGAGTGGTCCTGGGGCGCGGAACTGGGCCAAAACGCCTGGTGTAGCAACACTGCAAGGGTGCCCAGATCTCGAGGGTTTTGCAGAACTCTCCTCGTCGATGCGCTCCCCAACGTCATCTGCGGCCTGGCTGCTGGGGAAAGGGGAAACCAAGAGGTACCGACACCACCGCTACTCCCAAGACCTCTCCTGGGGTGCGCTCTGACCAGAATTTCGATGTGAATCCAGCCGTGGCGACGAGGGCCTCCCAGGAGGCCCAAAAAGGCGAAATCGATTACGTATTCTGTGGCGTTTTCGCCTTCAGCGAAGTGCTCCCCACATGTTTTGAAGTAGAGTGTTTTTACTCACTCCGAAGCTTAGATGGTGAACATAAAGCACGGCTTAGGCTATGAGCGTCTCTGTGCGCCTTCGTCCTGAACGTCCTGGTGTAGCTTTTTGATCATTGTGTTCCTCTTTATGTTCAAGGTTCTAACTTTCGTTCAACTTCTCCTGTGGAGGGGTCGGCATCTTCTCTCTCTGAACCTTCAATAGACCCTGGAAACGACAAGGCCGTTTTTTTACCGGTTCCATTTCGCCGCTTTCTTGCCGGTTCCGTCGCCGTTTTTGTTGCCTGTTCTGTCGCCGTGTTTTGTTTACGGTTCCGGTTCCGGTTCCAATCCCAGAGCCCTTTCTCTGCCGTTTCCGTTCGCCGTTTTTTCACCACTTCCACTTTCAACGAGACACTCGTTTGAAAACGGTGCAAAAAACTAGCTGAGCGAAAAATGGCATGGACTCGGAGATCCGGGCGGATTTCTCGGATCCGCGCTGGCAGCTCCTCCCTGGCGCCGCCAGGGGTCTCCAGCGACGATCCGAGAAATCCGCGCGGGCCTCCCAAGTTTTTTGTCTATGTGATTGTTCGTTCCCCTAAAATGAACATCGTTTAACCGATCCCTATACCTACTGGCGTGGCCTGGGCCCTACTGGCCGATCTACCCCCGAGATGGGGATAGAGGCGGCACCCCTCGGGCTTCGAAGGGCATATCCCCCACTGGGGTGGTGGGATGGTGGGGATCGGGATGGGGATGGGAAAGGGGTAGGGATCGGTTAAACTAGCACAAGAAACCTTCCACAAGAAACCCGACCCTGAGACCCCACGACGTCCGATTTCTGGTGTGGGAACGTCGCGCTCTCCATAGCAAGAACCAAGAAACCCAAGGAACCCAGGGCACCCTGGACGCAAGCAGGGCGCTTCTTGGCATGGGTCTCCACTGTATGTGATTGCCCGTTCCCCTGAACTTGAGCAGGGACCGACCGTCCCGGCATTCCTATAGGCCTACCACGAAGTGTTTTTTTTTTTTTTTTCTGTTTCCCGCCTTTGGCTCAAACTGTTTCTAATTCTGTGCTGTAACCCTGTCCGTCTCTATCGACCTGACAGCTGGGACTTCACCTTTCTGAAGCCTGCTCAAAGCTCGCCTACCGTGCGTGGTGGGTCTGCCCTGGCAGGGATGCAACAGGTTCCGTGCGCCTTTCTGAGCATAGAACCCGCAGCGCAGACATATCAGAGTGCCAAATCTCTGATGGACCCCGATTGCGTGTGAAACATGCAGTTCTCTCCCATTAAAAACTTGGACTCCAGCAGGTGAGAGCATAACGCCTCTCATGAGGCCACGCACGCAAGGAGTGTCGAGGAACCTGTTCAACTCCCTCCTCGGCGCCGATCCTCCACACTCCTTGCAACGAACTCTGGAGCCTGCAATGCATACGCCGTGGTGCTCTGTGATCTGTACACTTCGTGCCTCTCTCGCTCTACGGTCTGCAAGCGCTCTATCGCTCGGTTGTTGTCGTGGCACTGTCTCGATTACCTGACCTAGTACTTTGGCAAGATGCTTCCTGACTGCGAAACCTACCGCTGTCGACATTTCCACCCTGCACCTATCAGCGAAAGAGACTCGAAACTCCTCGGCTAGTCTGCTTGCAGCCGCATCTGCGATAGAATTCACAAGGAAGCTGGCTGGGCTCACGCCCTGCTCGAGCGCCTCTTCAGCGCTGAGGTGACTCTCCACCTTCAGCACTCTGAGCCCCTTGTCGGGGTGGTTGGCTAACGTCTCTCCAAGCCGATGCCACACGTCCACATGCGTGTCTGGGCTCTTGCCTACTCGCAGCTTTTCAACGCCTCTCATCACATAATCAGAGTCTGTGATATACACAGCGTGCGCTAATGGCAGAATGGCCGCTGCAAACTCTAAAAGAGCCGTGGCTTCACCACGGTTGACTGTTTGAAACATTCCTGGCAGATTCCCTCCTTGCAAGTGCCCCAGACCCAACTCACCCGCGTCGTAGCTCCCATCCTCTCGAAAACCAGTGAGCGTCGCAAACGCCCATGCTACTCTGCGCAGCCTAGGGTCTCGGTCTTTGCCGCCACTCGCGTCACCTCCTCCAAAGATGACCCCTGGCGTTCCGAAAGACTGGTGGCTCGACCTGCCGAAAACAAAACTGATGGCCTCTTCTGTTGGTTCTGGGACACTAGTCCACGTGGAGGGCACTAGCCCTCGGATCCAAAGGCTAGGCAGGCTGTCCGCCTCGCTCCTTGCCTTGGCTATTAGATTCCGCGATATATCTTGAAACTCCTCATTCGCTGGGCACTCCCAGCATCTGTGCTTGTCAGTCTCGGGTGCCTGGTTGCATCTGGGACAGAGCGCGTCCGCCTCTAGTCCATACTCAAAAAGTCTCTGCCTACACCAAGTCGCACCTGTCATCACACACTGTAGCAAACCTTTCCACTTAAAGTCCTTACGCTTTGCTGCCAGGCGGCATTGCTTTCTTGGGCCTGACATCTCTGGCACCTGCTGCAAGCCTTCTCCCATCCAGGAGTTCTTTGCAGCGCCTGCCCAGAGCTTCCTACCTACACTGTCTGCTATACTGGCAAAAAGGACGTGCGACTTGTCCAAAGGCCCTTTCCCTATCAGCTCGACAGGCGCTTCAAATAACTCATCTATATCGCTGTGCCAGCGCCACGGGCCTTCAGGATTCCAGCCTAGATCGAGCAAAGTGCAAATCGTTGCGGCCATGGGTGAGCATACTCGCCTCCAGCGATTCTTCTTGGCCCTGCAGCTCAAATTGGCGAGCACTCTGCTCCAGCCTCTCTGAACTCGCTCTGGGTTGATCCTCCGGTCTCCTAAGATAGAAAACCACATCTTAACTACATCAAAGACCGCTGTGTAGGCTGGGTCCTGTGTCCCATACTCCAGCGCGAGGAGAGTGGTTAGGCATCTGCCGTGCTTCTTCCTGCTCGACAGGTCTGCCAATGCCCGTCTCCACCGCGTTACTACACTGGGAGCTGTCCCATACACTTGATCCGAGTAACGAGACTGAGCGAACGCCGAGACCGAAATCATTCTCTTGGACAGCTCCCGATGTTTGCGCGCTCCACGTGCAAACCTTGATAACTTGCGAATCTTAAAACTTGTTGCTGCGCGCCTCGCTGCTTGCTTTGGCCTACTCTTCGAAATCCTGCCCCTATCAAGTCCCAAATCTGGTGCATTCGGCTTCACCTGAATGCTGATGTTGGCGTCTTTAAACCGCTGGGATAACTCTCGAGCTGCTACTGGCGATGAAGAGATGATGCATGACTTGGCCGCTGTAGCCAGGTGGATGTCGCGCAGGCCTGCAACTAACTGCTGGCCCGCACGAAACAGCGTCTCCACTAATCTCTGCCTGGGCGCTTCACAACGCTGCACTATGTCGTCGACCCATGTGTGCAAACTGGGAGAAGGAGGTGGGCATCTGGCCACTTCCTCGCAGACAAAATACAGGGCACACCTGCCTAGATCCACAGCTCCTGTTGAGCCTGGAATCAGAGACAGACTCGGTTGTATAGCTTCTGAGAAACATCCTTCCTCCCTCAGGAACCTCGGCGACATATGCATCTGA